TATTTGTATTTTTTAAGATTTTATTTATTCATTCATAAGAGATACAGAGAGAGAGAGAGAGAAGCAGAGACACAGGCAGAGGGAGAAGCAGGCTCCATGCAGGGAGCCCAATATGGGATTCGATCCCCGGACTCCAGGATCACGCCCTGGGTGGAAGGCAGGTGCTCAACTGCTGAGTCACCCAGGGATCCCCTATTTTTTTTTTAAGATTTTATATATTCATTCATGAGACACACACACACACACACACACACACACACACACACACAGAGGCACAGACACAGGCAGAGGGAGAAGCAGGCTCCATGCAGGGAGCCTGACATGGGACTCAATCCCGGGTCTCCAGGATCACACCCTGGGCTGAAGGTGACGCTAAACCACTGAGCCACCTGAGCTGCCCATAAAGTACCTCTTTAATAAAAACTTGAAGATTTAACATTTTATATATTTTTTAAAGTTTTGGGAAACAAACATACACTGATGCATTTCTGCAGACTCAGGGCAAAATTCTTGCAGATTCATAAAGGATTCCTATTATTACAAGAATCAAAAAAAAAAAAAAACAAGAATCATAGGACCTTATACACAGGAATCACAAGAGAAGGATGGACTCTTTCTTGCTCATATGCATCAAAATCACCTTGATTAGGGCACCAGGTTGGCTCAGTCCTTTGAGCATCTACCTCTTGATTTCAGCTCAGGTCATGATCTCGGGGTCCTAGGATTGAGCCCTTCATAGGGCTCTGAACTCAGTGGGAGTTATTCTTGGGATCTCTCTCCCCCTCCATCTGCCCCTCTCCCCACTCATGTTCTCTTTCTCAATTAATAAAATTAAAAAAAAAATCACTTGAAGGGGAATCCCTGGGTGGCTCAGTGTTTAGTGCCTGCCTTTGGCCTGGGGTGTGATCCTGGAGTCCTGGGATCAAGTCCCGCATCGGGCTCCTTGCATGGAGCCTGCTTCTCCCTCTGCCTGTGTCTCTGCCTCTCTCTCTCTCTCTCTCTGTGATTCTCATGAATAAATAAATAAAATCTTAAAAAAAAAAAACAAAAATAAAAAAATCACTTGAAGAGTGAAGAGTAAGACAGATTCCAGGGCCTGACTTCCAGAGTTAGTGATTTAGTTGGTCTGCATTCAGAAATGAGAAGATGAAAAAAAAAAGAAAGAAAGAAAGAAAGAAAGAAAGAAAGAAAGAAAGAAAGAAAGAAAAAAGAAATGAGAAGATGCATTTCCAGTAGGTTCCCAAGTGACTGTGAAGGCAAAAGTCCGAAGATCAAACTGGGAAAACCAGGGTTGTATGAAATCCAGCCTGGTTCTGGCCCAGAGTCCACCAAGGTGGGGAATTGTAGGCTTCAAGAGGTACACCCAAGTGTTCTTACCTGCATCCTCTGAGTATCTCTACAGTGAGGAAAGCAGATGAATGAACTGGGCTCAAGTCCTGCACCCTCCACTGCTGTTGAACCTTGTGAGGGCTCTACCCAGCAAAGCCAGTCACCTGCTTCTTCTGCTCCAAACTTATTTCAAAAACACCCAGATGGTTCATTCCTTATCTCTTTAAAATGTTTTCTCAATGGCCTTATGAAGAAGAATCTCCCTCCCCCCCCTTACTGTGCTACGTAATATTACATTCTATTGATCTCTTGTTTTCATTGTTTTACCACATGCGAACTTACTATGTTACTTCATAATTTTCTTTCATATTACCTGCCTATTTTATTTGAAAAATGTAAGCTGCAGCCCGGGTGGCTCGGCAGTTTGGTACCACCTTCGGCCCGGGGTGTGATCCTGGGGACCTGGCATTGGGTCCCGCATCGGGCTCCCTGCATGGAGCCTGCTTCTCCCTTTGCCTGCGTCTCTGCCTCTCTCTCTGTCTCTCATGAATAAATTAAAAAAAAAAAAAAAAGACTGTAAGCTGCACGTAGACAATGGTTTTTGTCTCTGTGTCCCAAGGTCTCCCATTCACGTATAGTACTACCTGAAACTGAGTACTTGCTCAATGAACACTTGTTGAAGCTGTAAATAAATAGGACACCTCAGCTTCTTATTCATTTTTACTAATCTGGCTACAGTAAATATCCCCTTCAAGTCTCCCTGCAAGCTGGTATTTCTCAATGTTTTCAGGAATAAAAGCCCTGATAAAAATTCTCCATGATCCTAACTTTCTTCAGACTTTCCTGATGTTTCCTCAGAGCTGTGTCTGACACTGTCTTGAATAACTGCATAAACCTTATGACTAATGTTCTGAAATTTGCATTTAAAAACACTTTTGAGATAATCTCAATTCCCCATTCAGAACCATCCCTGCAACCACTGGAAGATAATAATCACTTTGGAGCAAAAAGAGGAGATCATGGGATTCAGGTGCCTCATCTCAGAATTCAGATGCTCCCTTTCTACCTTGAACTTTACAAAATAGCAACATTAGAGTAAGAGAGGGTTTTGTGTTGGTCTCAGCCTATCAATAATGAAGCAATCAGCTAGGAATGCCTGAGGTTCAGTACTACTTGTGGCAAGCCCTCAGAGATACTTCTCTGGAGCTAATGTCGTGGCTGGACTACCCCTCATGATTTTTTATTATGATTGCAGGACACACCTCAGGGAAAACCACCAAGAACTTTGAAAAACCAAGATTTATTACTCACAGGTAGTGAAGGATACAAGGCACACACAAGGGCCACACAAGGGGGTCACCAGTAGAGATAGGGAGGGGTATGAGCCTGGAGCTCTGCCTTGATTATGGCCATGTATGGGCTGCCAAGGGTTTCACAGGTCCCCTCTTTGTTGGAGAATTTAAAACATAAGAGTGGGAATTGTGTCACAAAGGGAAAAACAGGGTCACTTAAGTGATCGGTTATTTAGGCTGCTTGGGACTTTACACCAGTCATTTGATTAGTAGCTATGTTAAAAAGCCAGCAATATGGGATGCCTCAGTGGCTCAGCGGTTGAGCGTCTGCCTTTGGCTCAGGGCTTGATCCCGGAATCCTGGAATCAAGTCCTCCACAGGCTTCCTGCACGGAACCTGCTTCTTTCTCTCTCTGTCTCTCTCTCTCTCTCTGTCTCTCATGAATAAATAGATAAAATCTTAAAAAAAAAAAAAAAGCTGGCAATATGCTTTTTCCAGATGGATGTCTTTGAAATTGATGTCTTGGCAATCAAAAGTTTATTGTCAAGTCCTAGCATTACAGGGAGGGTTGAATAGGTGGAGCACAGAGAACTTTTGGATCAGTGAAACATCTCTATATGATATTATAATGGTGGATACTTGTCAGTATACATTTGTCTAAATCCATATACTGTATACCATAAGTGAGTCCGTATACAGCTGTGGGCTTTGGGTGATAATGATATGTCAGTGAAGGTTCATAAATTGCAACAAATACAACACTCTGGTGGAGGTATACTGGTAATGGGGGAGCCTCAGTTGGGGGAGGGGGCAGAGATATAGGGGAAATCTCTGTACCTTTTGCTTAATTTTGCTGTGATCCTAAAACTGGTATAAAAAATAAAATCTAGGGATACCTGGGTGGCTCAGTGGTTGAGCGTCTGCCTTAAGCTCATAGTGTGGTCCTGGAGTCCTGGGATCAAGTCCCACATTGGGCTCCCTGCATGGAGCCTGCTTCTCTCTCTCTCTCTCTCTCTCTCTCTCTCTCTCTCTCATGAAAAATAAATAAAATCTTTAAAAAATAGGGGATCCCTGGGTAGCTCAGGGGTTTAGCAACTGCCTTTGGCCCAGGGCATGATCCTGGAGTCCCGAGATCAAATCCTGCTTCGGGCTTCCTGCATGGAGCCTGCTTCTCTCTCTGCCTCTCTCTCTCTCTCTCTCTGTCTCTCATGAATAAATAAAATCTTAAAAAATAAATTTATTACAAAAAAAGCATTGGTTAAGTTGCTCTCAGATTGAGATGTTTCTCAGATTGCTAAAAGAATCGAGTGTAGCTTAGTATATGGAGTAAAAAATGTGGATAAAAAGTGTTTTTCAGTATGTGGGTCACAATCCTTGATGATATAGGCAAAGGAGAAATTTTCTATGGGATTCAGACACAGAGCTTGTCCACCGGCTTCAGGGCGGTCTAACATCCCTCTTCTTCCTTCCCAGTCATGACCCTCTTTGGAGTCTTTTCTATTCTTCCTGACCAAACATAATGAAATGCTGAATAGCACTTCAAGCCACAGCATTTGAAGAGCAATACATAACGTTTCCAGCTATTCAAGGACTCATTGTATTTATTTTTTTTTCTATTTTTTAAAAGATTTTATTTATCCATTCATAGACACACAGAGAGAGGCAGAGACACAGGCAGAGGGAGAAGCAGTCTCCATGCAGGGAGCGCGATGAGGGACTCCATCCCGGGACTCCAGTATCACGCCCTGAGCCAAAGGCAGCCTCTCAACCGCTGAGCCACCCAGACGTCCCATCTACGACTCATTTTATGACTGACTGATTATGGGATGATTAGGCCATTTATGTTAAATAGATCTGGGAGCATCTCAAATAAGATTTTTATCCTCTTTTTTTTAAGATTTTATTTATTTATTCACGAGACAGAGAGAGAGAGAAAGAGAGAGAGAAAGAGGCAGAGACACAGGCAGAGGGAGAAGCAGGCTCCATGCAGGGAGCCCGATGCGGGACTCGATCCCAGGACTCCAGGATGACGCCCTGGGCCGAAGGCAGGCTCTAAACCGCTGAGCTACCCAGGGATCCCCGATTTTTATCCTCTTGAGGCATGCTGACTTTATGGAGTCTGAAACAATGTCTTTTCTCTGCCTTTGACACAGGCAAAGCCTCTACCTTCCTTGAGGTAGGAGGAGTACTACTTTCCAGCTTCCCTCCTAGTGCCGCGCAGTCAATGCTCTGGTTGGTCAGGGTGGAGAACACCCTTCCCAGCCACCTCCAGAGCTCCGGGACTACATTACCCAAAAGATTCTGCGTTGAGAGGAGGCGATAACTGATCAGGACGAGGCGTATCTGTGCTTGCGCATGGCATCGGGGCGGAACTTCCGGCTTTCTGCGGCTGGTTGGCGTAGTTTGCAGTTTTCGGGGATCCTTTCCGCAGGGCTGAGGAGCAGGTGACGGAGCCGAGTAGATGTGAAAAGAGTCGTCCTCAGGGCAGAGACTTGGCGCACGGCTCTGCGACGCCGCCCGGGCTGCGCCTCACGGGGGCCGGGACAGGGACCCCCAGCCCGGTGTCCGCTCCGTCCACAGAGTAGACGCAGAGTAGGCGCTCCGTCCAGCGCAGGTAAACGCTTGTCCCCCGGGCCCTCCCCGCCCTCCCCCGACCCAGACCCTCAAGGCCGGAGCACGGGGCGCCTGCTCGGGTCCCTGCGGCCCAGGCCCGGGTGTTCCGGACAGGGAGGCGCCGGTGGGTGGGGGCCCCGCGTGTGAGCGCGGGCGTGCGGGAGCGGGCTGAAGGGGAGGGGCGGGCTGGGGCAGAGGCTGCGGGTTCGGGGGTTGGGGGGCTGAGGCGGGAGGAGTCTGAGGCCTGGGAACAGGGAGCGTGAGGCGGGGTCACTCAGGAGCTGGCGGTCCGAGACTTGCGGCACCTTTATGTAAGGACTCTGGACGCCAGGGGGAGTTTTGGCCAAAGGAGGGACAGGATCTCCGTTGATGAGGACATTGAGGCCCTTGTAGGTTGAGTCTTTGTTTAGGGTCACACCGCTGGTAAAAGGCAACACTGAGCCCTGAGGCCCACTGGTTAGACGACCAGCCTGAGGTCACTTGGCTCCACGGCCGCGGGAGGGTACACGGAGGCATGAATTTCCCTTTCAATTTCCCTTTCCCCCGTGGTCACATTTTTAAAATTTTTAAAATTTTTAAAATTTAAGAATTTTAAAGTTTTGCCTTTTCCCGCAAAACCCCAGGACTACAGAAGTACTTATGGAACCAACAGGGATGTATAAAGGGTGTCCGCGTCCCTTACTGGCCCTGACTGCCCCTCAGATGTTTTCTGGATTGTGGTGTCCGGGGACTCTTACCTGCCACTTTCCCAGTCCTTGGGTCTGAGGACTCTAGAGAAACCCCGATCTCAGAGTTCTAAGTTCACGTCAGGGGTTATATGAAGGCGTTCCCATTCCTGGCAACCAACATAAATGAGTGTTAAGGGTTAAGCCAGGAGCAGATTCCAGGATATGCAAATACATGGAGGTAAAGTTGAGCTGGGGGTGTTTAGGAACCACAGGTCTCTCTCTCTCTCTCTCTCTCTCTCTCTCTCTCTTTAAAAGATTTTATTTGTTTATTCATGAGAGAGACAGAGGGAGAAGTAGGCTCCCTGCAGAGAGCCTGATGTGGGACTCAATCCCAGGACCCCTGGATCATGCTCTGAGCCACCCAGGTGCCTCACAGGTCTCCTTTTATGATATGAACAAAGAATAGGAGGTTAGGTGTTGGGACAGGAATGACTGCCTGAAAAATTGAGTCTATTCAGGAGGTAATGGGAGGTTTGGGTCAGAGGAAAGGGATAATATTAGGAAAGTCGAAACAGTCTTCCTGAGTGTAAAGTGGAGAACAGATCATGGGAAATCAGGGCAGAGGCTACTAACATAGGCTGGTGACGGTTAATCATCCAGGACTGTGATTTAGAGTGGTTGCGTTTCTGGATGCAACATGGGATGTATGTTTTAAAAATGGGAAACTAGATTTTCTTTTTTTTTTAAGATTTTTATTTATTTTTTATTATTTGTGCGTGCAAGAGCATGCACGTGCACAACAAGTAGACAGAGCAGCAGGCAGAGAGAGGAAAAGCAAGCTCCCCACTGAGCAGAGAGCCCAACATGGGGCTCAGTCTCAGGACCCTGGGATCACCACCTAAGCTGAAGGTAGACGCTTAACTGACTTAGCCACCCAGGCATCCGAAACTAAATTTTCTTTCTTTTCTTTTCTTTTCTTTTCTTTTCTTTTCTTTTCTTTTCTTTTCTTTTCTTTTCTTTCTTTTTTTTTTTTAAGATTTTTTTTATTCATTCATGACAGAGAGAGAGGCGGAGACATCGGCAGAGGGAGAAGCAGGCTCCATGCAGGGAGCCCAATGTGGGACTCGATCCAGGGACTCCAGGATCACGCCCTGGGCCGAAGGCAGGCGCTCAACCGCTGAGCCACCCGGGGATCCCCGAAACTAGATTTTCTAATATGTGTGATGAGGGAAGAAAACAGGTATCAGGGATAACCCCAGGGGATTTGATCTTTGCAACTGTAGGGATGGCAGTTCCAACTGAGATGAGGAAGTTGGTAGTAGGAGTAACAATCACTGGGGATATCAGGAGCTTTGTTTTGGCCACATTGAGAATCTGAGGTATTTCAGAGACCTCTGAGTGGAGGCATCAAATTGGCAACTGGAAACACAAGTTGGGAAATCGAAGAGTGGTTCAAATTGGAGACCTTCAAAATGTGGTATTTACTGTGTGGACCCAATTAATCTGTGGTTACATATAAGAGGTATAGTCTTGTTAATGATTGTGAAGCTGTTTATATGCCAGGATGTAGAGGGTAAGGGCTGAGCACTGGGTCTCTCACTTGGGTACCTTAGTGATGGTATTAGAATTCATAAATGCAGGTGAGGGTGGTATGTATCCCTAACGTAGGCTGTATCAGACTGACTAGTCTAGCAGATGGCCAGGGTTTCCAAGATAAGAATGGAGATGAGAAAGATGCAGAGACAAGGGGTAAATGAGGCAAGATGTCACTCAGGCCAGAGCTCTTGCTTATTCTCTATGATTTGTGAGGACTTTGGTGGGACCTGGGGTCTTTCATTCAGCCTGGTGGGTGTAGTTGGGGCAAATATGATCATCTGTAAGAATCAGTAGGACTGGGGTGGGTGATAAATGGACTGAACTTTGAATGAGGATTAGGTGGACAGAGAAGGTTGTCATTGCTGAGGGGACAGCAAGCACAACACAAGGTGCAAGAGGGCCATGGGTTTCTGAGATCCACAACTGGCTCTGTGTGGCTTAGTGTCAGGCATGGAACAGAGCCAGGAGGGAGGCCTTCATAGAAGGATTAGGTGTTTCCAACTCCCAACAGGAGCCATGGGAGCTCTGGGGTAGTATTGGGTCCGGTTTGAATTTGCCAAGCAACTCTGGCTGTTTTCTGCTAAGTTGTATTTCATGACCTAAAATTAAGACCCATTGTTATGTGCTCCCTTGACACCTCATGAAACTCCCAAGTGCTTCACATGGCCTGAGTGCAAGTTCTCCTCCCCACTCTTAGATAAAGTTTCCTAGCCAAGCATCCCTTTTCATCAAGAGGACCAGAGCAGTTCCTGCTTATGCCTTTATTTTTATTTTTATTTTTTTTAAATAATTTTTTAAAAAGATTTATTTATTTATTTATGATAGACAGGGGTGGGGGCAGAGACAGGAGGAGGGAGAAGCAGGCTCCATGCCGGGAGCCTGATGTGGGACTCGATCCCGGGACTCCAGGATTGCGCCTCGGGCCAAAGGCAGGCGCTAAACCACTGAGCCACCCAGGGATCCCCCCTGCTTATGCCTTTAAAATGGGTTTCACTTCTCTGCTAGGCCATGGGGTTATTCACACAAGCCATTCACATCATCCTGTGGGAACCAGATTGTACCCCACCTCTTGATCTTGTAAAACTTGCATCTCACAGCCCCTGGTTGTTTACTCTTACACAGTGTACAACGTTCATGTGGCCCTATAAGGTTGTGGTGTCCTCCTCTCCCTGGCTGTGAGTATATGTAATTAATAAACTACCTTTGACCTTGTCTGTCCAGTATTAGGTACTTTGTGTTTGGCCATCCCCTTAACCCTAGGATGGGAATTCTGCTCTTCTCGCAGTGGTATAAAGGAGGGATGACTAACACAAGAGTGACTTATAGGGAGACCAGGGAGATGCCTGTGCTGTGGGGCATTGAGGTATGGCTATGGGCATATGGCTGTGGTGTCCAGGAATGTGAGGGCTGTGCATTCTAAAGAATACTTGGAGAGAGAGTGTGTCTGATGGTTTCAGAGACCTAGTATTGAGATTTACAGGACTTTGATAACATCAGAGGAATAGCTTGACAGAAGTGTGTGGATTCATCTAGTGAGGGCAACAGCTTAGACATCCATTTGTTCACCTGCCTCTTTTCGCTGATGATTGGACCTGACCAGTGAGCCCATGAGGAGACAGCAGTGCAAGTTGTTCCAAGGCCTGATTTATTCCCTGAGTTGGAGGGCTTGGGAGGAGAATGGGTATGGGGTATTCGTGTATGGATGAATTGTGGGTACTCTGGAGAAGGGCTGTTGGTGGTTTCATGTGTCACCATCATGATAGGGCACTGTGACCCTTGAAGACATGGCTATGTACTTGTTCTGGCAGGAGTAGGGTCTCCTTGAGGTTCAGAGACACTCATACAATAATGTGATGCTGGAAAGCTTTGAACTTATAATCTCGGAATGCCAGGGTGGCTCAGTGGTCGAGCGTCTGCCTTTGGCTCAGAGTGTGATCCTGGAGTCCTGGGATCAAGTCCTGCATTGGGCTCCCTGCAAGGAACCTGCTTCTCCCACTGCCTGTGTCTCTCCCTCTCTCTGTGTGTCTCTCATAAATGAATAAATAAAATCTTAAAAAAAAAAAAAAAGGAATTTACAGTCTCTCTGGGTAAGGCCCTCATACCCATCATGGTACCCTTAGATGTTCTCTGCTCTTCCCTTTTTCCCCAGGCACTGGTCTCTCCTTCCCATAGCAGGACCATGGACACTGCTTGTTTCCCCAACTCCCTAAGCCTGTGCTGTGGCTGAGAAGTCTGAGGTGTGTGCACTGCCCTCTCCCTGAGCAGCCCCAACACAGGGTTAGGCATATAGTGGTCATTGTAATTTTTTTTTTTTTTTTGGTCATTGTAATTGATTTTACTTTGCTTGCCCTTTCCCTGGCCTGGTGACTTTGTGCAGGTCCAAGGCACCTGAATACCAGTTGCTACTTCTTTCCTCTAGCTGACATTTTTTCATGACTGCTTGTGCCAGGAATTGCTAACACCAGCACAGTTACAGTTGTGTGGACCACGGTCTTTTTCTTGCAACTCCTCTATGTTTTCTGTATTTTTTTTTTTCCTCCTGTGTGCTATCACATGCTGAGTTGTTCTGACCCAGTACTGTCTGCTCTTCTGTAATGTGTTCTCCTTAGTAATTGCATCATCCAGGTGCCATGTATTTGGTCATCTTGGGGGTAGATTGTAGAGCCTTTATTTAAATGGTTCACAAATGGCTCTGATCAAGCCACAGCAAGATGGAGGATCCTGATCTGGAGGGTTGGTACCTGGAGAAGGACATAATATCAAGGTTGTGTTTAAATTGTAGCAGAAATTGGGGCACCTAGGTTGAGCTCAGTGGTTGAGCATCTACCTTTGGTTCAAGTCATGATCCTGGGGTCCTGAGATTGAGTCCCACATCGGGTTCCTGCATGGAGCCTGCTTCTCCCTCTGCCTATATCTGTCTCTTTCTGTGTCTCTCATGAATAAATAAATAAAATCTTTAAAATAAATAAATTGTAGCAGAAATCTATTCTATTTGGTTAGTGTTCAGTGCCAGGGGGCACACCTCATTTCTGGTGTTTCTTCAGTCTTGATGCTTTGCCTACTTATCAACTCTACATGTCACTTCTATTCTTATGTTCTGTGCAGGACCAGTCCATACCTTTCTGGACTCCATGTCTTACCTACTTTTCTCACTCCTCCATCTGCAGTGCTTCCCAACATTGACTTCTACATAATTTGTCATGAGGTGTGCATATATCTTCAAATGGTCCTTGAACATGAGCTACTCTGTTGCAGTTGGATTTTCTTGGTCCTGGACTTACCTTTCTATATAGTGCTCATGTGTCACCCGTAAACAAGAACTTGTTGAAAGTTATTTGTAGAAAAATGGGGCATAGGCCTCCTCTCCTCCACTTGTCATACATCAGTTGTGTCCTTCACCATTTGAGACCTTCCCCATTTTATGCTCTTCATTTCCTTGGAACAAAGGCTGTCTTCAGCCCAAACCAATCCTGGTTCTGCAGACAAGCCCATGGACTTGTCCTGAGTTTGTCAAACGCATTCTTGTGAATGGGTAGTTGACTCCAACCAGAGTCAACAGGGACTCCTCCAGCATTTTATTCCTTTCAGGTTGTTGATATGGAGCACACACTGAGGAGGCACCTTTTGAGCAGAGCATTTTTGTCAGAGTGTCACAGGTCAGGACTCCAAGGCAGGTGTCTCCCAGAAGGCCTACTCTTGTGAGGTATGTAGCCTAGTCTTGAGAGAGATTTTGCACTTGGTTGTGTCAAGGAACACGTACTAGGAAGAAGCCATATACCTGTGGGGCATGTGGGAAATAATTACGTTTTACTGCAAACCTTCCATGGCACCAGAAACAGGACATTGGAGAGAAACGCTTCAGAAGCAGAGCCTCATTTGTGAAGAGCTACAAATTCTGTGTGTCGAGGAAGCCCTTTACCTACAGGGAGATTGGGAAAGACTTCATGACCAGCTCAGAATCTCTCCAACAATAAGTCACTTACACCGTGGAGAAGTCAAAGAGCAGTACCAAGTATGTAGTGGCCTTACATGATGTAAAAATTCATTATAAATGGGGAAGATACATGAAAACTTTTGAGAACAAATATATATTTATTCAACACCAGAGAGATCTCTCTAGAATAAGATGTTACATATGTAGTGCATGTGGGAAGTCTTAACAAAAGGTACCCCTCAGTCACCATTGGAGAGTTCACAGTGGAAAAGGTCTAAATGAGTGTGGGGAATGTGGTAAATTATTTACCAACAAGAGCATTCAGCATCCCTGAGTTCACAGTGGAGAAAGACCATATATGTACAGGGAATGTGGCAGCTTCATTTATAGATCCAGTCTCCTGAATTACCTGAGGTTTCACACTGAATCCTTATGAGTGTGGGGGATGTGGGAAATCCTTTATAAAGCTCTGTGCTCCTCAGCGCTGGGAAGTTTACAATGGATGAAGGCCTTATGAGTGCTGAATGCTCAGGTGGAGGCCCTATCTCATTGAATACTGGAAAATTCATGTAGAAAACTTAGGGAACTTAATGTAGATGTGTGGGAGTGTTCTATTGTATTCCTTATAAGTGGAAGTGATCCATATGAGGGTGTTATCTACCTGAATTAAATCTCCTACATGAGAATGGCCACTAAGTGCCAGGTATGTGAGAGGTATGTTTTTAAACTGCACAGCCTATTGCCAGATGTGTGTCCCTTGGTTCTGGCAGAAGCCTACCCTTGGAAGGTGCCTGTGGTGTGTATCATTTAGTAACTACTTTAGGGAAGTAAAATTTCCCTGTTGTATTTGTAAAGGATATGTGAGAAGCCTGAGCATTCATCCCTTTCTTATTTTTTTCTCTGTGAAGACTTAGGCCCTGGACCTGACCCAATTTGGGCTCAGAAGATTCTGCTCATGATTTGAAAACACAGACTTCCTTTTTTAAAAAAAAATATTTGTGCATGAGAGACACAGAGAGGCAGAGACACAGACAGAGGGAGAAGCAGGCTCCATGCAGGGAGCCCGATGTGGGACTCGATCCCAGGACTCTGGGATCACACCCTGAGCCAAAGGCAGACACTCAACCACTGAGCCACTCAGGCGTCCCCAAAACATAAACTTCCTGTTTCAGGAATGGTCTCATATGACTCTCGTGATGGAGTTTTCCAGCATTCAAATAAAAAAGCTTGGAACAGCCTGCCTTCTGTGTTTCTGGTTTGTGTGATAATGAAGGCCTTATTTAAGGCACCTTTAACCTTGGGGATTCTGTTCACTGTGTATGTGGCAGTTTGAAAATAACTATTTGAGTTCTGCTAGAATGAAGGTGTAGCCAGCTTGTGTTGGGACCAAACTTTGTGTGCCTCAGATAGGATAATATTATGGCAGGATTTGTAGGGCTCTCTCATTTTGCCCTAGTTTGCATTGCTGCCCACAGCCTCCCAGGAGAGACTGCAGGGCTTTATGGTCCTTACTTAGAGCTTGGATGTCATTATATTTTGTAGCTTCAGAGGTCAGCCTGGGGAGAGATGGTTGTGACAACTTCTGGTGTTTATGAGAGTAACAGAATTGTTCACTTAGTCACAGAGGATGTTGCATTGTGCTCAGTACTGGTAAGTAAGGGAAATTTGTTCCTTAGGTCCTAAAAGAGGCCATATACTCTCGTGTCCAGAATTCTTTAGGGTGGTGCCACTGGTTGAAAGATTATAAGGAGGAATCATAATTGTGTTTTGTTTTTATTTAAAGATTTTATTTTTTTGTTTATTCATGAGAAACAGAGAAAGAGGCAGAGACCTAGGCAGAAGGAGAAGCAGGCTCCATGCAGGGAGCCCGATGCGGGACTTGATCCTGGGACCGTGGGATCATGCCCTGAGCCAAAGGCAGACAGACGCTCAACTGCTGAGCCACCCAGGTATCTTGGAATCATAATTGTTAAAACAACAACAATGGATTTATAGGGAGTGAGGAGATTACAACAAACTAGTTAGAATGGGCTCCTTTAAAAGGGTGTCCACAATATTTAGTCATTATGACTGTGAAGGATGAGCAGGTACAGAAATTCTCAGGCTTACCAGAAGGATGTATCTTGTATACCTGAGGGCCTGTCAGAAAAAAATAATGTAAGGTTTTTTTTTTTTTTTTTTTTTTTTTTTTTTTATGATAGTCACACACACACAGAGAAAGAGAGGCAGAGACACAGGCAGAGGGAGAAGCAGGCTCCATGCACCGGGAGCCCGACGCGGGATTCGATCCCGGGTCTCCAGGATCACGCCCTGGGCCAAAGGCAGGCGCCAAACTGCTGCGCCACCCAGGGATCCCAATAATGTAAAGTTTTAATGACTTGTAGCTTTTTTGGGCTATCTCCAGGCCTTTGTTGTGTAGGGAGGAAAATCAGGACATAGAGACAAAGGAGATGTCTTGCTCAGTGCTTCATACCCCAGCCTGGATTCCTTCTATTCAAGTGGAAATGACTTTCATTGTTTACCTGTATTTTTGTATTACTGAGGCAAGACATCCCTTCCTGGGATGGAGGTGGAGATGGTGGAGTCAAGATAGGGGGAGTAGGAAATCTAGATTTTTAGTCTGAACCATGTTTCTAAAGCTTTGATAAGGTATAGATAACATACAATAAACTGTACATATTTAAGCTGTATGGCTCAGTAAGTTGAAATTCATTTAATGCATGAAACTCATCACAGTCATGATAATGGACCTATCCATTACTCTCATATTTATGTTCAGCACTTTAATAATCTCTCTCTCTGCCCTGCAGGCAACCAATGATCTACTTTCCTTTATAACAGATTAGTTTGCATTGTCTAGGATTTTATGTAATTGAAATAATAAATTGCTTACTCTTTTTCTCTCATGGGAACCCTCTGCAGAATGTTTATTTTCAGGTTCAGCAATTACACTTAATATGAATAGTTCATTATTTTTATATTGCTGAACTACCATTTTTTTAAAAGACTTATTTATTTATTTATTTATGATAGAGAAAGAGAGAGAGAGAGAGAGAGAGAGGCAGAGACACAGGAGGAGGCAGAAGCAGGCTCCATGCCAGGAGCCCTACGTGGGACTCGATCCCAGGACTCCAGGATCGCACCCTGGGCCAAAGGCAGGTGCTAAACCGCTGAGCCACCCAGGGATCCCTGAACTACCATTATTTGTATATTCATTCATCTTTTTATGGATACTGCTTTCCAGTTTTGGTTGTTACAAATAAAATTACTACAAACTTTTTTTTTTTTTTAAGATTTTATTTATTCACAAGAGACACAGAGAGAGGCAGAGACACAGACAGAGGGAGAAGCAGGCTCCATGCAGGGAGCCCGACATGGGACTCGATCCCAGGATTCCGGGTCTCCAGGATCACACCCCGGGGCCAAAGGCAGGCGCTAAACCGCTGAGCCACCCAGGCTGCCCTACAAACATTTTAATACAATTCTTTATGTGGCTGTTTAATTTTTCTTGTGTTAGTACTTCAGGGTGCAATTCTGGAGTCACTGGCTGGGTGAATATGTGAACCTTTTTTTTTTTTTAATCGATTTTATTTATTCATTCATGATAGACAGAGAGAGAGAGAGAGAGAGGGAGAAGCAAGCTCCATGCTGGGAGCCCGACGTAGGACTTGATCCCGGGACTCCAGGATCGTGCCCTGGGCCAAAGGCAGGTGCTAAACCGCTGAGCCACCCAGGGATCCCCCCAATTTTGACCCTTTTGATGAATATTTAACATTTTGATCTCACTGTGGTTTTAGGAACATTTCCCTGATGTTTAGCGTGTTTTCATTTATTTGCCAGATGTTTGTCATATTTGGTAGAATGTTGGTTCATATCTTTTCTTTTAAAAGATTTTGTTTATTCATGAGAGGCACAGAGAGAGAGAGAGAGAGAGAGGCAGAGACAAGGCAGAGGAAGAAGCAGGCTCCATGTAGGGAGCCTGACGTGGGACTCGATCCTGGGTCTCCAAGATCATGCTCTGAGCCGAAGGTGGCACTAAACTGCTGAGCCACCTGGGCTGCCCCTGGTTCATATCTATTATGTGCTTTTTATTTTTTAAAAGATTTTATTTATTCATGAGAGACAGAGAGAGGGAGAGAGAGAGGCAGAGACACAGAGGGAGAAGCAGGCTCCATGCAGGGAGTCCGATGTGGGACTCGATCCAGGATCATGCCCTGGGCCAAAGGCAGGCACTAAACCGCTGAGCCACCCAGGGATCCACCTACGTGCTTTTTAAAAGTGAATTTTGGTAAATAAACAAAGATAAATTTGTTATGACAAAACAAATCTTAACAGATTTAAGAAGGTTGAAATAATGTATCTTTTCTGATGAAAGTGGTATTAATGTAGAAATCAACAACAAGAGGAAAACAGGAAAACACAAAAAATGGAAATTAAACAATATCCTCCTGAACAACCAGTGGGTCAAAGAAGAAATCAAAAGGGAAATAAAAAATTGTCTTGAGACAAATGAAAATGAAAACAAATACCAAAACTTACAGGCTGCAGAGAAGACAGTTATAAGGAAAGGCTATAGGGCAGCGCTGGTGCCTCAGCGGTTTAGCGCCACCTTCGGCCCAGGGCATGATCCTGGAGACCCCGGATTGAGTCCCATATTGGGCTCCCTGCATGGAGCCTGCTTCTCCTTATGCGTGTGTATCTGCCTCTCTCTGTGTGTCTCTCATGAATAAATAAATAAAATCTAAAAAAAATAAATAAGGAAAGGTTATAGATATATCTACATTAAGATAAAAGCTAGATCTCCAATAAGCAACCTTACTTTACACTTCGAGGAACTAGAAAAACAATAAACTAAGCCCAAAGTTAGTTGAAAAAAAATAAATGATACAGATTAGAACAGAAATAAGTGAAAAAGATACTAGAAAAACAGTGGAAATGATCAATGAAGCCAAGAGGGTGTGTGTGTGTGTGTGTGTGTGTGTGTGTGAAGAAAAGCAAAAATTTTTTTTAAATTTTATTTATTTATTTTTTATTTATTTATGATAGTCACACACACAGAGAGAGAGGCAGAGACACAGGCAGAGGGAGAAGCAGGCTCCATGCACCGGGAGCCCGACGTGGGATTCGATCCCGGGTCTCCAGGATCCCGCCCTGGGCCAAAGGCAGGCGCCAAACCGCTGCGCCACCCAGGGATCCCAAGAAAAGCAAAATTGATAAAACTAGTTACCCAATGTAAAAAAGAGAAAGTATCCAATTAAAACTGTATAAAAAGTCTAGGCTTTACAGCGGATACCACAGAAATAAAAGAATCACAAGAGACTACTGTGAACAAGCACAGTGCAGTGATTAAGAAAAGTAAAGCCGTAAGGTTTGGTGTTTTGAGGTCCATCTATTGACTGCAGTGACTGGGAAAAACCTTCCCTGTGCTCTTGATGAGAGCTGTTGAAATCCTAGTTAGATAGATAAAACCAAACACATTCATACTTTTCAAAAGTTGGAAGACAGCTTTCCATATCACAAATGATATTTGTGTGTTCTTGCGCATGCATGTTCTGTCAGGACAATTCCATGGTTCCTTAGGTGTTAGGTGGTTTTGTTTTATTTGAGACAGTATTTCTTCTTTCAAACACTTAAGTTTCCTACAAGATTTTAAATGTATAATTCATGACCACATACACCATTTGTAAAACAAATGAACTTTTAGCAAACATCAGTTGCCTCATCCACTCAGTCACTCAGACCAGAGGTAAAAGATTTAAGAGATATTTGTAAGTAGGAAGAATGGAAAGAGCAAACATGTCAAGAGACAGGATGAGATCAGATTAAAGCTGTTTAAGTTAGGAAAAGCATCTTAGGAAAACATTTGAATTTTGAAACTGATAAAACCACTTACAACCTTTTACTTGAAATAACTAAGTTTCTTTCTTAAATTTATATTTTCTCTGTTTAAGAGGGGAGGGAAGATTTTTCTTTTTTTGCAGTTCATATAATTCTTCCTATGGAAGTATAATCCTGATTTCTTAAGTGTGTCCTCAGAGAAACAGTCATAATCTGGATGGTGTCATAAGATTTGGAGTTTCTCTGAATTGGGAGCCTCCCACATACTGTGTTACCTTTTAATTTTTATTTTTATTTAAGAGAGAAAGCACAGGGGTTGGGGAAAGCAGAGGGAGAAACAGATTCCCTGCTGAGCAGGGAGCCTGATGAGCTGGATCTCAGGAACCTGAAATCATGACCT